AACCTTTTTTTTTTTTTTTCTTTCTTTCTCCTTAGTCCACACCTGAAGTTTAATAATCTCACCCTGATTTCAACCCATGGACTTCCAGGAAAAAACCTTCTGGCCACTGAACAAAGAAGGTTTTTAGCAAGCGAGTATGAATACTATTTACTTTTTCATTCTGAGGCCTAAATGTCCTAAATTGTGTGTAGTTGTTTTAGGCTAAATATTAAATTTCATAATAGAAAGGAGAAAAGCTGTGGTTTTTTCTGCAGGAGTTCAGATGTTATTCAGGAGATTCAAGCATAAACCCATGAACAAGTAAATGGCTGAGATTGGCAGGTTTGAATTTATGGGAAAGTGCCTCCCTATTCCAAATGATTGAGACAAATCTACTGATTCAGCCTTTGCCTGCACTTGTGTTCTGAGTGTCCCTGCAAGACAGTGGAACTTGAAAATTATATCTGCATAAGACCAGGTAACTCCCCAAAGGTTCAGCATTAGGGGTGAAGGACGGGGGCCCTTCATTAGGGTTTGATCTAACACCCACCAAGGCCACTTATAACTAGGGGATGAAGAGACAGAGGCCTTCTGTACAAACCTGGTAGGCTTTATTGTTCTCATCCCAACAGAATCATTCTTTGACAACAACCATTCTAAAAAATACCATCTTATTATCACAAAGCTTCCATTAGTTTTAATTTCCAGTAGCAAAACATGAATATGAGAAATATTAGGCTTCCTGCTTCTTGAAACAATGGCCTAATTTTCCCAATCAATGGGAAGAAATTTTTCCCAGTGAGGAGGTTCATTTCAGAATCTGTGAAGAAAGTAGCTTCCTCCCTCTGTGAAAAAAAAAGATTTGCTTTACTTTGAAACAGTGAGAAAAAACAGAGCTTCCTTGCCAGCAGAATCAGGCTTATTTTGACCTAACACACGAGACTATAAACTTTGGTTTATTTTGAAGGACATCATTATGAAGCATCATTATGGATGTGACTTTTGAGCCAAATGGATGTGGATTCGCAACCTGCACCAACCACTAAGGGTCTTGGCCAAAGATTTAATTTCTCTTAGCTTTGGTTTCTTTGATTGTGAAATGTGTTTGATAAGCCAACTTTGCCTGGCTTATGTTAAAATTAAACATTTTTGGTTAAAATTGGCCTGACTGAGACTGAAGGGTCAACACATGTATATCCCCTCCCTCACTTTCCCTCTTTATAAAGGAAATGTTGGCTTTACTGACAAATGTCTTTATCAGCTTGATTAAAGATTCCATTTATACCCATCTTAGGTGTGTTATAGCAAAGAACAGCTGGAAAAAGACTTTCTGCCTGTATTACACTGTATTGATGGAGCATGTTCCTGGGTGGCAAACCACCTGGTGTCTTCTGCTCTGCTCTTACTTCTCTGCATTCTCAACACATTAGCCAGAGCAATGCTGCAAAAATGTGAATCAAATCACAGTAACTTATATCCTAGAACTGCGCTGTCCAGTATGGAAGCTACTAGCCACATGTGGCTATTTAAATTAATTAAAATTAAGTGAGATTAAATATTCAGTTCCTCAATCACACTAGCTATATTTTAAGTCCTCAGTTGCCATATGAGGCTAGTGATTACTATATCAAACAGCACAGGTACCGCACAGAACATTCCCATCCAGAACAGAAAGTTTTAGACCTAAAATCTGACCTTGTCCTTTCTCTGACTTCATCTTTTACTAGTTTTGCCTTTTGCTCCTACCACTCTGGCCATGCCAGCCTCCTCAGTGTTCCTTAGACATTTCAGGTAACTTTCTACCTGGGGGTTTTTGCTTTTCTCTTTTCAAGTCTTTATTTAAACATCACCTTTTCAATGAAGTCTGCTTAAGCCACCCCCTCTCTTTGCAACCAGCTCTCTCAACACATTCTTCACCCAACTCTATTTTTTCCCTTGATACTGAAATTCTTTTAAATGTTACATAATTTGCCTTTTAAAATTCTATTCATTCTTTATATTACAAATCCCTCCACTGTATTATAAACTCCTGAAGATTGTTGCCTTCCTGTCCACTGATGTATCCCCAGCACCTGGACAGTGCTTTGCACGCTGCAGGTATTTAGTAAATAATGTTGAATAGATGAAAATTAACTCTAAAAGTACCTGCAAAATTCTTTCAGTTAAGCTACAGACAGGAATTAAATAACAGCCCAGTACATTCTGGGTGGATAACTCTTTAGATGTAATTGTAGTTCTTAGAGAGGACAGATAGAACCTTCAGCAGGATGGTGCCTTTCAAGCTGTCCTCTGGTTAAAGATTTTAAAAATAGCAAGTGTAAATGATACCCATAAGTATAATAATTTATATTTCTCATTCTAAATACTAATTTTGAGTTTTTCTACAAGCGGTGCTTTTATGATTGTCTTGGAATACCTGGTTTTGTCTTCTTCCCCCGTCCTGCCTCTAGTGGAAGTGCTAATCATGCACCTAGCATGCAGAGGAAGGAAGACAGTGGGAGGGGAGAGACAGGAAGTAGGAACAATCCACTAATTAGAAAATCAATCCTGAGAAAAAGAAAGTTAATTTTGATGGTCCTTCTTTTATGAATGTCCCAATAAATTCTTTATGATACCCTCTGAGTTTCCTTTCAATGTTGAAGGGTTTTGATTCCACAAAGTACAGGTGTCTACTGTACTTTCATTTGTTCTTTTCAAGTTTGTTTTATGCTTTGCACTTGGAACTTTGGGCTAAGTCTTCTGACCAGTTGGTTTGAAGACACCATCAACCTTGAACATGCTAGCTATTCTTCAAATATATTCTAGAAATTTCTTCATCCTGCATTTCTGCTTTCTTCTCCTCTTTATTATCTGTCTCCAGGATTTTCTATGAAGGCAGCCTTTCACATTATCTGAGAATAAGAACCATACTCACATGAAGTTGTATTGATGCATCTCCTTTGGTTTCTTCTCTGTTTTCCAGAGAACCCTGGTAGAGCTATTTCTGTTATTTCCAAGCCAGAAGATAGCTCCTCCATGTTAGAATATTGTTGTTGTTATGTGCCGCCGAGTCGGACCCGACTCATAGTGACCTCTCCTTGGGTTTCCGAGGCAGTGTCACTATGGAAGTAGATTGCCCAACCTTCCTTCCGAGGAGTCACAGGTGGGTTTGAACCTCTAGCCTTCTGGTTAGCAGTCAAGTTCCTTAGGCACTACGCTACCAGAGCTCCCTGTTAGAATATTAATACCCATTAACTCTGCTTAGGGAGTAATTTTGGAAAACTATCGCTTACAGTCTCCATTGTTAGTTTCATTCACTGGTGGATCAGCTAAAGGAAGTTGTTTCAGTTACCTAGTGCCACTCTGACAGGAATATACCACAAATGGGATGGCTTTAACAAACAGAAGTTCATTCTTAACAATTTGTATGCTTTAAGTGTGAGTTCAAAGTTCCAGGCTCTAGGGGCTGAGTGAAAGGCCTTCTACCTTAGGCTTCAGCTCAGCCTCCTGCTCCCGGCCCACTGAAGCTGGAGGCTTTTCTTCACTCAGCTGCTGGCTGCTGAGGCTGACAAACCCAAAGTCAACAAGTAATAAGGCACAGTCCCAATATTACCAAACCACACAGCAGGCCATTAATTCAAGGCTATTAAAAGTCCCAAGATCAGCAGAGCATGGCAGGCTGCTGAACAATGACTCAGCTACATGCAGGGCTTAAGCATGCCATAAGCTAGAGACCATTCCCAAAGCTGCTGCTTATATACAGGAAGCAGACCACATCCCTAAAGCAGCTACTCAGCTGCTTGTAGTAGATCCCACCATGGAGTTGATTGCCAGTCTCATCATGGGGAATAACTACCGTCACCTGCCCAGCCACTTAACCAGGCCCAGCCAAGTTGACACACAAAGTTTAACTACCACAGAGGTCCAGACTTATTGCTATGTAGGAAGAAAAGTAGTTCCTGTAGGCACAAATGGTTAATACACTAGGCTTCTAACCAAAAGCTTGGAAGTTTGAGTCTACCCAATGGTGCCTTGGAATAAAGACCTGGCAGTCTATTTCTGAAAAAGCAGCCTTTGAAAACCCTGTGGAGCACAGTTCTACTCTGATACACATTGGGTAGCCATGAGTCAGAATCAACTCAATGGAAACTGGTTTTTTAGGGAAAATACACATAGTGAAAATGGATATGCAGCAGTATTTTAAACTGAGAGTAATATAGTGATAGATTATCAAAATAAGCACCCCACAGCCTTCAATAACTCTATTTGCTTTTGAGTAAAGGCCCCTAAAAAATTCAGTGTTTCTATGTACCACTTTCCATTGGATAGATCTTCACATTTTGACTCTGTAATGTGCATTCTGACATCATGAAAACCACTGTCCTACTGTCATTAAAAATAACATTGTCTTAGCCTTCCCCAAATTTCCCGAATGTTGTTATCTTTGAGCAAATCCTTGTAAGACTAATTTCTGTGCACTAACTGTGTTTAATTTTTCTTCATCTTGAACGATTCACAGCACTATTCTTGCTGTGAAAGGGACTATGTAACAAATAAGGCCAATCCGTTCACAAAAGTCTCTTAGGAATATATGGAATCAATGAAGTTTCTGTTTTCCTATAAAGCCATCAAAATGCTGTTCAAAGGAGAATTTCATCTCAGTATGTATTATTTCCCTGTGACAGGCCAACCCTCTGATTTTCTTTTTTTATTAAGGAGAAATTTTCTTATTTTTAAATGTTGTTTCATGGAGAGATACAAAGCCCAGAGCTCCATTCTCTTTCACACGTCCTATAACAGGTCTAATGTGCATCCATTACTAGAATTCTCTTTGTGTGGCAAGAGCAGACCCATGAGTGGATCAAAAAGAAAAAATATTCTCCCATTACCACTTCAGGATTCTGTTTGCCCTCAAGGAGAGTAAACAGGATTATGTGTCATTATTATTATTAGAGTAATACCCTTCACATATGCATCCTACTTGACAAAGCAGCATTTCATACTGCTCATGTTCATTCCTTACAATGATCAAGGCATGTAGGGAAGGCTAATTATACCATTCTGAGAGGTGAGGAAGCTGAAGTGTCGATAGGGCATGCAGCATCCCTGGGGTCCAGCTCATCAGCAACAGCAGGGATGCCAACTATGGCATGATTCTTTTTGAAAAGGATCATGCAGCTTAATTTTAAATGAAAGATCTTAGACTGAGTCTTCAGAACAGGATCATTAAAAAGCCATTTGTATAAGGTCAAACCTTTCAGAAATTTCTGGAAACAACCCTCACACAACTCTTTAAATAAACTCAAAGTAACAAGAAACCTGCTATTCTCACATGACAGCTGAGTGTCCAAACTCAAATGAAACCCAGAAAATGGAAACCTATGTGGCCATCAGTGCCCTAAAGCCACAGCATTAACATACACATTGAGTGTGCTGATATTAGAAGTACCTGTTTCCCTTTCCATTACCTTTGTACTGCAGAGTAAATCCCAAAAGTCTCCAGGGTTTATAATTGCTGCAAACATAATTTCCCTAATTGACATCTTCTCTAAATAAAATGGGTTTTGTTGTTTCGGCATGAATGTATACACAAATTCTAAGAATGTATTATTTTTTTTGAGAGAGATATTCTAGGATTTTGACAACTGCCTTTGAGAATCCTCAGTGATGTCACTTTCTTCTATCTTATTTCCTCCCAGACTATGGCTAGTATGACAATTCAGCAGCTAAAGTAAGGGTATAACCACCATGAAGTAGAAATAAAAGAAAGATATATATTAATGAACACACATACACACACCTTCCCTGGTGTTGGGTGGCCTAAGCTAGGTAGAACAATTTAGCTTAATGAGAAGATGTCAATTTGTGACTGTTTCATAACAAAAAACCTCTTCATATTGGTGCTGGTAAATACAGCAAGAACACAGAGTCAACCCACTAGGGGACTTGAACCAGTTCACCAGATGTCTAATTAATGCCCACTGTCAGCTGCTCAAATGTCACTGATGGGTCTTCTCTCTTTGCAGCCACTGTTTTAATGATAAAGATTATGCACTGATGTCGCTTTGCTCCTGGGTTAATGTTGTGGTTGGTAGGATGACCAGCATAGACCGAGTTGCCAAGCATGTCATGGTGTCTGAGGGAGAAATCGTGCTTTATGACCACCTCATCCTGTGTACCGGGCAACAGTACCAGGTAGGGCTGTGCATACAGGGCCGCAGCTCCAGGGGTGATGATTTGTGTGTTTACTGGGGCTCATGCTGACTGGGTAAAGGGCATCCCTTCCTACCAAGACAGCTGCCACTCTGTAGTCATAAGCCTGTTCTTCAGGACCCATATGCATCAACAGAAGTGTGTTCTCAAACCCTCCCAGAAACCCATTCCAAGAGAAACATTCTGCCCAAGGATAAAAAATCACAGCATGTTAGAGAAATGTCATTCTTTAAGCTGTTGTTCAAAAGTCTAACACTTACTGCTCACCAAAGCCAGATCCAGACACAGTCAGGCCTGCATTTATAGTAAATTAATTTATGCCTCAAGAGGCTAACATTTGGCGGTTGTGATGTATGTACGCAAAAGTATTTCAAACACGTGCACCTTCCGTCAGCCTTTATTTTATTTGGTCTCTCAGTTATAAAGCTAGGAAATCTGATTGATTGATTATCTACCCAGTAACCATATTTTCCATTTTGATGAAATTCTCCAGCCACATTTGAATAAAACATTGCTGGGTACAACTGAAGCTGTTAAATATCTTAGGAGAGCAAATTTGAATATTCCCACTTTGCAGTATGTATTTGAGTTTCATGTAGTTCACAAAAGTAGGTATCTGTTCAATGAAAAGAGATTTATTTTATAATTCAACTATTGTTGTTGTTATGTGCCATCGAGTCGGACCCGACTCATGGCGACCCCTCCTTGGGTTTCCAAGGCAGTATCACTACGGAAGTAGCTTGCCCCATCTTCCTTCTGATAATTCAACTATGGGGGTCCTTTAATCATATTTTTGTGCTGAGGAACCTGGATTGGTCTTTCTGTGGTTTTGTTCCTGAAGACAATCACAAAGTTAACATTGATGTGTACCCCTCCCCCTCTCCCCCTGCCATGTTTTATCTGGTACTATCTTAGTTAGCCACCATCCATCTGTCAGTTTATTGTACTGTGGTGGCTTGAATGTTGTGATGCTAGAAGATATGCCACCAATATCTCAAATACCAACAGGGTCACCCATGGCGGATAGGTTTCAGCAGGGCTTTCAGATTAAGATAGACTAGGAAGAAAGGTCTGATCTACTTCTGAAAATTAGCCCATGAAAACCTTGTGGGTCACAACAAAACATTGTCCAACTTGCTTGCTTTGGACATATCATCAGGAGGGATCAATAGCTGAAGCAGCACATCATTTGGGGAAATAAATACCCAGTGAGGACGAGGGAGACCCTCAGTGAAATGGACTGACATAATAGCTGCAATGACAGCTAGAGTTGAACATGCTGGTGATTGTTAGGATGATGCAGGACCAAACATTTGTTTTGTTTGGCTGCACATAAGGTAACCATGAGTCAGAACTGACTTGACAACAGCTATCTGTCACTTCTCTATCTTGTGTTGCTAGCTACCTATGTATGTATCTTCGTCAGACTATCTTGTAAATAATTGTGTATTTGGTTCAGGGCTGTGTATACAGGTGTGCTTTACATTGCAAAACCATGAGGAGGCAGTGCATGGTAGCAAGAAGAGCAGTCTTAGTCCAAGCATTGCTTCCAAATGTGCACTGCAATTTTGGACATCACTTAACCAACATCTGAGTCTGGACTGCACATGAAGACCACCTTGGGCATTTTTTGAAATGTACCAAGAGGGCATAGGACCCACCCTGGGAGATTGGTGGGACACAGTCATTTGTGTTTTTCTGAAAAGCTTCAAGATGATTTTCAATCAAGGCTGAGAACCACTGACTTGAACTTTCTCAACCTCAAATGCTTCACCTTTACCTTACAGCAACATTTCCCAAATTGTAACATGCACACAGATCTCCTATAGGCCTTTATAAAAATGCAGAGTCTGATGTGGTAGGTGTGGGGCAGGATCTGAGATGCTATATTTATAACTAGCATCTGAATGGCCACTAGTCCTGGACCATGCTTGAGGCAGTAAGGCTTGGATCCATCTCTGAGACCCCTTGTAACTGATAAATGAGGATTCTAAAATCACACTGCAGATCATCTCCAATTGCTCAGAATTTTGACAGACTGATAGGAAATTCCTGTCTTTTTTTCTTCTTTTTTTCTATAGCATTCCAATTCTTTTTTCTTCTTCTTCTTCTTCTTCTTTTTCTAAATCAAATTCTCAAAAAGTAGAAAATTATTTTTTCTGGTTAAAAGATGAAAATAAAACTGAGGGTATATCTTAATTTTGATATTTTTGTATTTATCTTACTTTTTCAAGTATTAAACCAGAAGAAAATGCCACACACCCCTTCAGCTATACCCATGCCTCACACAGCTGCCCCATGGGGTCCAGCTGCTGCCTGGAGTACTGACTCTGGAAAATGTGAGGGGAGACCTGGCCAAGTACCCAGAGGCTCGGGCATCTGCCCATGTGTGTCCAGCTGCCCCGGCAGCTTTAGTATGTGGCACACATTAAGCTCTTGCCCTTTCTACAACAGGAAAAATAAAATGAAGAAGTGATAAAGGGAGTTCCAATTTAATTTTTCCAGAAGGATATAACAATTGAAGGTACATAGAGTTATACAGAAAGGGCAGATCAATTCACATGGGAGATTCTGTTTTTTATTTCTTTTCCTATCTCCTCCCTGAGTACCTTATGCTTTTGTCCCAATTTTGACCATGTTTTTTAACAATTTAAAGTGATGAAAATAAAGCTTAAATTCAAAGCAACAAGATACCCTGTTATAAAATATAATTTCAAATCTTAACCTATAATCAGACATTTTAAATGGTATGTATCACTCTAAAATGTTACACAGTATTCTTTATGTGCAAATAAATCCATTACCATCAAATTGATTCTGACTCATAATGACCCTCTGGGGTCCCCATAGGGTTCCCAAGGCTGTAAATCTCTACAGAAGCAGACTGACACACCCTTCTCCTGCAAAGTAGCTAGGGAGCTATAACCACCAACCTTTCAGTTAGCAGTCAAGTGCTTAACTGCTGCACTACCAGGGCTTCATATATCACTTACATTTTTTTTTTTATTACAAAATCTATAGTGTTGTTGTTGCTGTTGTTGTTGTTGTTGTTGTTGTTGTTGTTGTTACGTACCATCAAGTCAGATCCGACTCATAGTGACCCCTCCTTGGGTTTCCGAGGCAGTATCACTACGGAAGTAGATTGCTGTTAGGTGCCATCAAGTTGGCTGTGACTCATAGGGACCCTACGTACAACAGAATGAAACACTGCCCCAGTCCTGCACCATCCTCACAATCCTTGCTATATTTCCACCACTCGTCTTCAGTTTGTCATACATAGTGGCTTACATGTTGCTGTGAAGCTAGAGGCCATTCCACCAGTATTTCAAATACAAGCAAGGTCACACATGATGGACAAGTTTCAGTGGAGCTTCTAGACTAAACGAGAGTGCGAAGAAGGACGGGGCCATCAACTTCAGAAAAAAATAGCCAGTGAAAACTTCAGAATAGCAGTGAAACACTGTCTGATATATTACTAGAAAATCTATGTACAAGGTAAAACATTGAATTGGGCTTTAGGGCTGAACATGAGAAGCACTGGTCTCTCTCCCAAACTTTTCTGCTTCCCAGTCCTCTTGCCTAAGGCAAATGCATTGAAGCATTTCTGTTGGTAGTTCCTTAGTGATTACCATCTTCCCCCATTACTCTAAATAATATATTTATAGAAGTTTTTTCCTTGATCTGTCAACTTAAGTTTACCAAGAAACCATCCATTTTGGAAGTTGATGATTTAGCTAGTTAAACTAAAGTGTTTAGTTAGTTTCTGATTTTTTTAAACTCCTGTCCCAATTCCATTATAAATTTTTAAATTATTTTTATTGTTAAGCACAGGCTGGCCCTGGAAACCACTCTTGAGATCACATACAAATGAGACTCCTCAGACACTCTCCATGACTCATGGAGAATTGTGGAGATGATAACCATGGAGAGTTTTGATAATTCCAGCCAAGGCTTTCCAGCATGCCTGCTAAGGCACCAGATGTGTGAGTGAAGCCACTGTGGACCCTAGAGACAAGTCTGTCCATCAGCTGAAGATCACCAAGATCTGTCAATAACACATGGAATAGAAGAACCACCCAACTGAGTTCTACACAAATTTAGGACCCATACAATCTGAAACATAATAAAATGGTTATTATTTAAACCACCAAATTTTGGTGTGAGACCACTGGAACAAAAAGATACCACAGAATAAGGGGAAGGGCATAATGACTGGGAAAATCAGAGGAAGATCATACTTTTGAAAATATTCCGAGACAGAATTCACACACCAAAAGGAAAAAATTGCAAAAAACTATCATCCTCAGTAGCATTTGATCACCCAGCCTCTGAGGTGGGAGCTGACATCATTGAAGATCAGAGGTAAAGTTGAGAAGGGCACAGGAGTAGATGAAACAGGAGATGGATGAATAAGGAAAGATTAGAATTAAATCCCCATCAGAGACAGAACTGCTGCTGTACAAACTTAGTGATGCTGGAACAAAGCAAAAAACTCCCTTATGACAGAGACAAAGGAATATACTTGGCACAAGAGAAGAGAGGATATGTTAGACATGGAGGAAACATTTTCCAAGAGAATCAAACAATGGGACTATTCTGGTTACCTAATGCCATTCTGACAAGAATATACCACAAATGGGATGGCTTGAACTCACAGGAGTTTATTCTCTTACAGTTTGGAAGGCTAGAAGTCTGAGTTCAAAGTGTCAGGATCTAGGGGCTGTACGAAAGCCCCTTGACCTTGGGCTTCAGCTCTGCCTCTTGCTCCTGGACCACTGAAGCTAGAGGCTTTTCTTCACTCAAGCAGCTATTGGCTGCTGAGGCTAACAAGCCCAAGGTCGACAATTAAAATGGCACAGTCCCAATGTTACCAAACCATACGGCAGGCCATTAATTCAAGTCTATTTTAGGTCCCAAGGTCGGCAGAACATGGCAGGCTGCTGAATAACGACACGGCTAAATGCAGGGTCCCAGCATGCCAT